ACCACCCGACTCGGATGTGCAACGAAAAAGCCACGCCTCGAGACTTGAAAAACAACAAGTGGCGCATCACATGGGCCGCGCAGGCACATCGATGCCGCGAGCAGCGGCCAGGTGTCATGGAGTCGGCGATTCCAAAGGGTGTGGTTTGCAAATGTAGTTTGCAACCCGCAGCCTGCGGGGCGGGCGAGGACCACGACAGAGTTCTCCGCCGCGCCCCGAGGAGGCCCGACGAGCGCAACATGGTGCCCCACAAGCCGCAACCGACGCAGATAGCAAACCAGACCCAGGCGTAACCACACCCTTTGTAGTCGCCCACGGAGCGCCTTCTGCTGCGCAGCGATGCAGGAAATCAAGCTCCGCATCCCGCCCAAAAACTTCTATACTATACCCAGAAGCCCCAGAGGGCCCTCGTCGTGGGCCTGGTACACCAAAGTCCCTCCCTGGGGCGTGGTTTTCTATAGACTGAACGTAACCCCACGCGGTGGAGTTTGACTGCGGCGGGGATGCTGTGGCATGCACCAGAAATCCTGAGGACTGAATGGGCCCAGGGACACACCAATAAGTAGACACAAGTCCCGAGATTCCCTATATTCTCAGATATGTTCTGGGTTTTCGCCTTCCCAGCCACTTCCCAGAGTTCCTGTGTGCTTTCCCCCTCTCCTGCAGGACGTATTGAGACGCACTGCCCGTGCAGCGGCGATGCGTCGCCCTCCTCCGACCCCCCCGCGCTCGGGCCCCACGCGGGAGGCCCTGAAGAGCCTCCAGGGCGCCGAGCCCTTGGCGTGACGCGGGCGGGACGCGGAGTGAGCCCTGGACCCGGAAGCCTTACTACGAGGCCAGGACGAGGGGAAAATCGGGTGAGGATGAATCTAGACTCCCTGAGATCCGGCGCGTGCGTCTCTGGAGGATGATCCTCGGGCGCCGCGGCCTCCCGAGGCCGCTCCAGAAAGGTCCGCGTTTTTTTCCGGACCGCTCTGGAGCTAGAGGCCTCCGAGTATCATCGCCGATATATCGGCGATGCATCGGCGATGTATCGACAATGTATCGGCGATGCACCGGCGATGCATAGTCGACGTCGGCGATGCATCGGCGACGTCGACATGAAGCATGTCGGGCTCCACATCGAGCAGCATCGGCGATGCATCGGCGATGCGGCGCGATCCCCCGACCCGATCTAACGTGAAGCAAATCGGGCTCCACATCGAGCCGCATCGGAGATGCATCGGCGATGCGGCGCGATCCTCCGACCACATCTGCTCCGACCCCGTCTGGGAGGCCTAGAGGAGCGGATTTATCATCGTCCTGGCCCCATCCGAAGCCTGCCCTCAGGACCAGCCTTGCACGGTTTCCCCCGGGGCCGTAGGCGACCCGAGGAGGAGGAGGAGGAGGAGGAGGAGGAGGAGGAGGACAAGGAGGAGGAGGAGGAGGAGGAGGAGGAGAAGGAGGAGGAGGAGGGGGAGGCGGTGGAGAAGGGGGAGGGGGAGGAGGAGATGGAGGAGGAAAAGGAGGACGGAGGGAAGAGGAGGAGGGAGGAGGAGGAGGAGGAGGACGGGTCGCCTAAGCCCTTCGGAGAAACCTTCCAACAAGCCTCTGCTCCTGGGCAAAAATCCTGGCGGACGTGTGGGCCTCTCTGCTGGGCCGCCAGGGTGGGTCGACGCCCACCGAGTCCCGCGTGCCCAGGTCGGCCACGGGGGCGCGCCAGCGGTGGACGCCCTCACTCCGACAGACATATGTGGCGGCTCGACGCTGCTCGAGGCACAGGCCCCCGGACCTCTTCGTCCTCCTCCTCCTCGTCCTCCTCCTCCTCTTCCTCCTCTTCCTGACATGTTCGACCTCCTCCTCCCCCTCCCCCTCGTCCTCCTCTTCCTCCTCCTCCTCTCCTCCTCCTCCTCCTCCTCCTCCTCCTCCTCCTCCTCCTCCTCCTCCTCCTCCTCTTCCTTCTCCTCCTCCTCACCCCCATCCTCCTCCTCCTCCTCCTCCTCCTCCTCCTCCTCCTCCTCCTCATCATCATCATCATATCATCATCATCATCATCATCATCATCAGCATCATCATCATCATCATCATCATCATCATCATCATCATCATCATCATCATCATCATCATCAGCATCAGCATCATCATCATCATCATCATCATCATCATCATCATCATCACCATCATCATCATCATCATCATCATCATCATCATAATCATCATCATCATCATCATCATCATCACCATCACCATCACCATCACCATCATCATCATCATCATCATCACCACCACCACCACCACCACCACCACCACCACCATCATCATCATCATCATCATCATCATCATCATCCCCCATGCCTGTTCCTTACAGCACACTCAGCGGGTCGGTAGGGCGGGCTGGGCGTTTCGAACAAGACTTCCTAACCATGTAAGATCCTGAAGCTCGAAAACCGCGACAACCAGAGTAAGGAAGCACAGGTCGGTTTCAAAATGGGGCTCTTGCCTTTGGCTTACGCAGATTCGCCCTACCAGCTGCAAAATCTACAAGACTGGAGGGGGTAGTTTTCATAATGAGCTCTCGCGTTACCGCCGCGAATATTCGTCTTGAGAGTTCGCAACAGCTTCAAGGAGGATGCACAGGTCATTTTCAAAATTGGGCTGTCGCCGTAGCGCAGCGCGAATTCGTCTTCAGAGCTGGCAGCAATATAAGGATGGAGGGGGTGGTCGTTTTCACCATGGAGCAAGGGATGGATAGATTGGTCGTCTTCATAATGAAGCCCTTGCCGCCGAGAACGCTCGTCTTGCCAGTTTGCAACAGCTTCAAGGATGGAGGGCATCCTGTCTTCAAATGGGGATGCTTGAAACAGTTACACAGAGGAAAGACGGCTTCTTCTCAAAATGGGGCTCCTGATCGAGTCTTTACCGCAAATTGTAGAACCACATGTCTAGCACGTGTACTGATGGATGGCAACTCCTTTTCTCGGAGTCCATGACCGGAAGAGCAACCGTATGCAACAACCTCACGAATTGGAGGGACAGTCCTTTTTAAAACAGAATCCCACTGAACACCCCGTTGAACTGAATGGCCATACCGTTCGCATTCCTGAGAATGCCTTAGACGGATGCAGGGAAGTTCTGTTTTACAACGGGACTCTCGCCTAAATGGGAGGCACATGTGGTACTGGCATTCCACGTGGGCGCTTCTTACAATGTTAAGTGATGAGGGGCTCGGGACGGGAGGGTGTACTGCAGCATCGCTGACACATCGTGGAACTACTCTCACTCTCCTCCTCCTCCTCCTCCTCCTCCTCCTCCTCCTCCTCCTCCAGGCGGATTTGGACGAAACATGAAGAATAGCAATAACTCGTTCAAAAAATATAAAAATACAAAAAGAAAAAAAAAGAAAAAACAATCGTCCCCAGACTATGTTCTGACTATTTTGGGACTATTCCTCCTGTAGAAGGACAGGCCCGACTTAACATTATGCGTTCTCAACGTCGACCCCCGAGAGTCTTGAACCTTCCCTCGGGGCCGCCGGCTTATCGTCCATCGGCTGCACGCAGGGGTGCCCCCTAGTCAAGAGTTAGGTCGAGCATGTCCCCCTACAGGCAGATTTTCGACAAAAAATTAAAAACGATCATAATAATACTACTAATACTTACAATTATTACTCTTAAACAACAAAAAGTGGCAAAAGAATCGTCCCCAGACTATTTTTTGATTATTGTTGAATATTCCTCCAGGGACAGGTCCGACTCAAGTCAAGAGAGACACTTGGTGCGCGGCCAGGGACAGCCAGGGAGGCCAAATCAAAGCGCGCGGGCCCGTGCTGTGGGGACCCCTGTGGGCCCGCATCACAAGTCACTCTGGTGAGGGGTCACTGCTACGCACCGTGTAGCCAAATTCTGAACCGTTGATTGGGGATCCCGGGGCAAGAGGCCTGCCCCCAGACACCTAGATTCTAGGCACCCAGAAAGCAGGAGACTGTTTTATTATGGTTGTTCCTGTTCGATATTGAATCAAAATGGCTGGCGCTGTCTAGGAGATCGCAACGGTAGACCTACTGGACCGGCAAAGATATCGGTCCCGCTGCTTGTGCCCAGCCGCCGCATGTCTCAGTGTGGAGGCCTGGTGAGCGTTTTTGTGAATCTGAGTTTTGATATTGGGCGGTCTGGCTCCGGACCTCTGCTTAGCGCGACTGTTTGCAAGAGTGAGGTCTCTGGGGGAAGCACCCTACCCGCTCGAAGCAGGCGCCAAAAAGCAGCAAAGATCTACTCCATGGGGGAGGTGGGGGGGCGGTTTGGGGGCCCGCCCCGATCGGCAAAACAATGAATGAAAAAACGATCCCCTGAGCGGCGGACACCCCTGCGCTCTCCTGCACGGTTTCCCCTGGGCCCGTAGGCGACCGTCGACCCGACGAGGAGGAGGAGGAGGAGGAGGAGGAGGAGGAGGAGGGGCAGGGGGAGTAGGAGATGGAGGAGGGGGAGGGGGAGGACAAGAAGGAGTATGAGGAGGAGGAGGAGGAGGAGGAGGAGGAGGAGTGAGGAGGAGGAGGAGGAGGAGGAGGAGGAGGAGGATGGGTCGCTTAAGCCCTTCGGAGAAATCCTCATCCGCTCTCCCGACCACGCCGCGCAGAGATATCCGGCCAGGCGGGCAAAAAGCGCCGCCGAGGGGCCTCCCCTTCCCCGGGGAGCAAACAATGGCACAGACATTAAAATCTCGGAGGTCCGCGCGGATTTCTCGAATCGGCACTGGACTCAGGTCGGGCTTTTCCTCCTACAGGCGGATTTTGGGAGAAAACTGAAGAATAGTCAGAACATGCTCAAACGTAGTCAAAAGATAATCGAAACATCGTCCCCAGATATTGTTTGACTATTTTTGGAATATTCCTCCTGTAGAGAGACATGCCCGACTTATAAACGCTGGACAGCGCTCTTGGCGGCGTGGCGTGCCAGTAGCGGCGCCGGAGGCGCCGCCAGGGGGGTCCAGCGCCGATGCCAAAAACTGCGCGGACCTCCGAGTTGTTATGGTTCAGCCATCGCTTGTTCCCCGACTTCCGGCCGTATACACAGACAAGCAGGGGGCCGCGCGGCGTCACTGCGGGCTCCCCTTTGGGGTGCTGTCGTCCTCGCGGAAGCAGTATCGAGAATCGAGGTCAGGGGATCGAAGATTGGAGCTGCCCTTGGACGCCGCTGGCCCCTTCTGGCCCTCCGTCGGGCTCCTCGTCGCAACGGCTGCATCCGCCTCGAAATTCTGGTCCCGGGACCGACTTTTGACCGACCCCTGGACCCAGGCATCCAGCGGCTCGAACAAATCGAGACGGCCGATTTTCGACGCGGACTCGACTCGCCGGGGTCTCGCTTCGCTGCAGCGAAGCGAGACTCTGGCGAAGTCGAGCCCGAGCTGCATGCAGCTCGGTTCGCCGGGGCATGCTTCGCCAGGGCCTGGTTCGCCAAGGCTCGCTTCTCCGGGGCTCCGTTCGCCTGCCTCGATGCGCCGGGCTCGGTTCGCCAAGACTCCTCGCTTCGCCGGGGCGTGGCTCGCCCGTCTCGATGCTACAGGGTCTCGCTTCGCCGGAGTCTCGTTTCGCTGGGGCTCGCTTCGCCGGAGCTCCTTTCGCCGAGGGCCGTTTCGCCAGAGTCTCGTTTCGCCGGGGGCTGGTTCCGCCGGGGCTCGCTCCGCTGGGCAGGTGAAGGATCTAGAGGGGGGGAGGAGGGGGAGCCCCAGAACGGGCGGGTCTGGTCGGGCGGGGCGGACCACGACGGGCGGGCGGGTCGGGCTGGGCGCGCTGGACACTGAAGCAGGACGCATCATCGAGCCAGCTCACGCAAACCCTAACGGGCGGGTCGGGTCGGTCGGGCTGACCATGGCGGGCGGGTCGGGTCGGGCGGGCAGGACTTTCATGTGGAAACGCATCATCGAGTGAGCTCGCGCGAGCCCCAACGAGCGGGTCGGGCGGGCTGACCCTAACGGGCGGGCCGGGTCGGTCGGGCGGAGCCAAGCAAATCCAGACTCGGGCGAATCGAGCCCCATGGGCGAATCGAGCCCGGGCGAATCGAGCCCGGGCGAATCGAGGCCGGGCGTATCGAGCCGGGCGAGTCGAGACTCTGGCGAGTCGAGACCCCGGGAGGATCAAGCGACTCCAGAGACTCTGTCGAATCGAGCCTGTGCGGATCGAGCCTGGCGGATCGAGCCGGGCGAATCGAGACTCGGCGCGTCGAGCCGGGCGAACCGAGCCGGGCGAATCCGGACTCGGGCGAATCGAGCCGGGCGAATCGAAATCCAGCGAATCGTGTGGGCGAATGCTCTGGCGAATGGAGCCTACGCCCAATTTTCCGCCGTGACTTTGGCCTCGGAAGGCCGGCTGTTGTCACGGGGCCGTCAGGAAACGACTCCGCCGGCGTTTCGTCCTGAGTCGCCCTCCCTGCGATGAGCTGCATTGCTTCTGCCGACATCGCAAGAGGACCATGCACGTGATCACACCGCTTCTGGCCGGGCCCATTCTGAGCCCAGGATCGGTGCATACGGTCTCCCGCCTTGGCCGGGAAGGCATGCGCACCGATCCTGGGCACAGGATGGGCCTGGCCAAGATCGGTGCGTGTGCATTGGTCTCTTCGCCCGACCTTGAGATCCGACGTCGTGAAAAAACTGGAAAAACATAACGCCCGGAGCCCGAGACTCCACCTTTCCACGTCGTCGAGCCGCATCGATCTGCGAAGGTCCCAGGGCCCGTCTTAAGAAAGGCGAAGACGCCCGGCTCGAAAAAACTGGGACGCCAGAATCTCTTGGGGATCCCGAAACCGTGTGGTGACAGACCCGGCGGCGACCTCGGAACTACGAGAGACCTCACCGCACGGTCCGTCACCTCACGGTCTTGGGACCCTGGAGGCCCCTGTCGCCCGAGGCGTGCTCGGAGAGGGACCCGAGTCCCAACACCGTGCGGCGACCCCGAATCCCCACCGACTCACCACACGGTGTGGTCACCACACCGTTTGTCGGGAGCGGCCAAGAGGGGGGTGTCCAAGAGGGGGGTGCAAATCATGACCGGCGGCATGTGCGCGGCCCAGCGGGGGGGCCAGGGACGTAATTGAACAAGAAGAGGCGCCCTGAAATTTGGGGAAATATCATGGCCCCCGCCATGAGATCCAACCCCCCCCCTAGTCATCACCCCCCTCCTTTCCGCCCCCGAATTTGGGGGCCCCCGAGGACATCGGGGAAGCCCAGGATCCAGAGCCGGATCCGGCCCGAGCCGAGCCCCGCCCCAGCAAGCGCGGGCGGGCGGAGCCCCCCGCCGAGGCGGCCCGAGATCGGGCGGCCCCGCACGGGCGCGGAGCGCCCGAGAAACCTTCGCCGCAGTGGGCCCGCCACCGCTCGGACGCCCCTTCTCCGTGCAGCTGCGTCGGCTCTGCGCGCGTGTTCCCCAGACCTCCTCCTCCTCCTCCCCCTCCTCCTCCTCCTCCTCCCTCCTCCCTCCTCCCTCCTCCTCTCCCTCCTCTCCTCCTCCCTCCTCCCCTCCTCCCTCCTCCCTCCTCCCTCCCTCCTCCCTCCTCCCTCCTCCTCCTCCTCCTCCTCCCGCCTCCTCCTCCTCCTCCTCCTCCTCCTCCTCCTCCTCCTCCTCCTCCTCCTCCTCCTCGGGCAATGAAAAGATCATGACGGAAGGTTTTTTGCTATTTCCGGCTTCTGGGGGCCCATCAGGCCCTCGGGATTGTCAAACATCGACTCGGGATGAAAAAGCCAGTCCAGGGGAGTGGGTCGAGACCTCCATGGGCCGACATTATGAAACATCATGGCGTCGGGGTCTGGAATGTTCGCCAGACGATGAGAAACAAGAATGCCTCCCCTGACCCTTTGAGAGGGGACCTGAGTTAGGAGGGCCAAAAGCGATAAGGATAGGGGGTCTTCTCGGCAGATGTATCAGACCCAACCGCCCAGATCGAGGATCCCTAATGCAAAGACGGGGACCTCAGTGCGGTCACTAGGGGGTCCTCATCGTCGGCGATGACGGGCGTCATGGCGGGGGTATGGAATAACGCCCCCCCCCCCCCGACGTGCGGCTCCGGCACCACAGTCGCGCCCGCGCGCACGACGACGATGAGCGACCAGCGACGAGCGACCAGCGACGAGCGACCAGCGACGAGCAACGAGCGACGAGCGCCGACGACGACAACGACGACGACGACGCGAGCAGCATGTAGTTGGCGATCTGCCCAACACCGCCTGTGTACACCACAATGTTCGCATGCACCACAGCGCTTGTGTACACCACAGCGCCTGCGTACACCGCAATAGCCGTGCAACACAACGCGTGTGTACACCACAATGCTTGCGTGCACCACAGCGCCGGTGTACACCACAGCGAATGTGTACACCGCAGCAGCCATGTGCAACACAGCGTCTGTCTACACCACAATGCTACGTGCACCGCAGCGCCTGTGCACACCACAGCGCCTGTCTACACTACAGCATCCGCGTGCAACGCAGCGCTGGTGTACACCAGAGCGCCTGCGTGCACAGGACACGTAGAAGGAGCATGTCGGTGAGGATCTGCTGCGGACGGCTACACGCCACGCCAAGGAAGTGCTGGTAATACAATGCGACGTTGCTCCCTCCTCCCTTCTCCACCTCCGCCTCCTCCTCCTCCTCCTCCTCCTCCTCCTCCTCCTCCTCCTCCTCCTCCTCCTCCTCCTCCTCCTCCTCCTCCTCCTCCTCCTCCTCCTCCTCCTCCTCCTCCTCTCCCTCCTCCCTCCTCCTCCTCCTCCTCCTCCTCCTCCTCCTCCTCCTCCTCCTCCTCCTCCTCCTCCCTCACCCTTCCCCCCCGTCGTGCGGGTCGGCACTACAGCGCACGTGCGGGTCTCAGCGTGCACCGCAAAATGGTCTATTCACTGGTGCTGTGCTGAGTGCACGCAGGCATTGTGGTGTACACTGGTGCTGTGTTGCTCACGGCTGATGTGGTGTACGCAGGCGCTGTGGTGTACACAAGCGCTGTGATGCACGCGGCTGCTGTGGTGTACATAGGCGGTTTGGTGCACACAGGGATGGTGGTGCACGCAGGCACCATGGTGTACACAGGCGTTGTCGTGCAGATCGCCACCGACACACGTCTACGGTGATTCCTAAGCATTCCCAGACGCTGCCAGCGCGAAACGTGATGTCATCGGCACCCTCCACTCCCCCCCTGATGATGGCCGTCATCGGACTGAAAAAAAACAGGCTCCAGCTGCGAGCGACAAGCGACGAGCGACGAGCGACGACGACGACGACGACGAGGACGACGACGACGACAACGACGACGACGACGACGGCGGCGGCGACGAAGACGACGACGACGACGACGACGACGACGACGACGACGACGACGACGACGACGACGACGACGACGACGACGACGACTGCGGACCAGACTCCTATGCGGATTCCTATACGGACACCTATGCGGATCATGATGCGCACGGCGGCAGTGCCCGGAACGCACTGGGGCGGGAGCGTTACGTCATAGGGGGAGGGGGGCCGGGGGCCATGACGCCCGTCATGTCCCAAGCAAGAAAGGAACGGGCTCCAACAATAGCCAAAATGCTCCTCGAAGGTCCTCGCCGAGCAAGAATGCACACGCCCGAGCGACGCCAAAGGGCGGGCCGAGAGGCCGCCCAACCCGGTGCCCAGCCAGACCGCGCTTCGCGGCGGGCCAGGGCCGGGGAGACGACAAACTTGGTTTCGGAGGGCGGCAGGTTGGTCGGACGGGGCCGTCAGGAGAGTTAAGATGCCCGACGCGAAGTTTGACGGCAAACATGCCGGATCAGGCTGCAGACAGCCTGGACCGCAAAAGGGCAGAAGGGACACCGAAGCACGCCATGGCGCCGAAGGACGCCGTGTCGAGGCCGGGGGGGACGGTCCAGGAAGAGGAGGAAGAGGCGGCGGCGGCTGCGGGGGAGCTGCCAGAGGCTGGGGACGCAGAGGAGGCGGAGGCTCCGCCGACAAGGCCTCCGAGGACGAGCTCCGAGGGCGTGTGCGCCGCTCGTGGGCCCAGTACGGGCCTGGCCTGGGAGCTCCCTGACGCACGTGGCAGGCTTGTCGCTATCCAGGGGGCGTCAGTCCACTGTGCTGTCGCGCCTGGTGCGGCGGCGAACACACGTCTCAACGCTTCCCCACCACGGGACCCGAGGACGCCCTGAACGGCGAAGAGCGGGCAGAAGCGATCCCCCCCGTTCGGCGTCTCCCGAGGGTGTGGCCTGCAAAGGGCGTGGTCTGCAACGCGCACCCTCGGGGGCGAGGACCTCGACAGAGCTCTTCACCGCGCCCCGACAAGGGCAGCATCATGCCCCCCAAGCCCCAACCGACGCAACTCGCAAACACACCCCGGCGTAACCATACGCAGAAGGCATCTAATACACCACCGCCGTGCCAAGCCAGGGCCATCCTGGCCCTGGCATGGTGTCTACGCCTTCCTGGCCGAGGCCGGGAGGGTCTGTCCACTATCGCAGGGCCCAGGATGGCCCTGGCCACTGGCACGGTGTGTTTACGATTTGCGTCGGGGTGTGTTTACGATTTGCGTCGGTTGGGGCTTGGGCGGCATGATGTTGCCCTTGTCGGGGCGCGGCGAAGAGCTCTGTCGAGGTCCTCGCCCGCCCCCGAGGGTGCGCGTTGCAGACCACGTCCTCTGCAGGCCCTTGCAATCGCGTTGCAGGACACACGCAGGAAAAGAGCATAGAATAAAAGTCGTCCCCGTGCTATGTTTGGCCATTGGGGGGATATTCCTCCTGCAGACGGACACGCCCGACTCAACAAAAACAAGCAAAAAGAGAGAGAACAAAAAAAAGGGGGGCCACGGCAGGGCTGGGTCGGGCACGCCCCCCCTGCAGGCGGACTTGGGACGAAAGCTCTAAGACATGCGATGAAAAAGTGCTCCCGAATGGCCAAGACGTGCTCCACGAAATCGCCCCCCCACTATTTCTTGACTGGTCTTCGGCCCTCCTCCTGTAGAGGGACGTGCCCGCCTTCACCCATCGCCGCCCACCGCCGCCGTGCTCGGTCGGGGCCACGGCAGGAAGCCCCCGGCCGCTGGAGCGCTGGCCCCGGCGCTGGCCCCGGAGGCCGCCGCGAGCGTGCGAGCGGGCCCGGCGTCTCCCCCGGCGGGGCCCCGCTGCGCGGGGGTCCGGAGGCGGCGCGGCGGCGGACCGCGCGGGGGCCTCGGACCCCCCAGGGAGACCTCACCGCACGGTCCGTCGCCGGACGTTTTCTCGGGGCCTTGGAGGCCCCAGTCGTCTCAGGTCGGGCATGTCCCCCGACAGGCGGATCTTGGACGAAAAATTGGACGTAGTCAGAAAAACAAGAAAAATATGCAGCACTACTCCAACAGATCTTCCCCTGACTATCTTTTACTATCGTTGAATATTCCCCCTGTAGAGGGACAGGCCCAGCTTAACCCCAGTCGCCCAAGGCGTCCTCGAAGGACGACCAAAGTCCCAAATCCGTGCGGTCACCGCGCATCCCCATTGACTCACCACACGGTATGGTCACCGCCCCGTTTGGGGACCCCGTTTTGCAGAAGATCCCAGGGTGCCCCAGAGGAGTACACCAGCAAGCACCAAAGCGATTAAAACTGCGGGTCGCAGCCTTTCAGTATCATAAACGTCGCGTCGGAGTTGGATCCGTCTGGCACGCGCAGCTAAACACACGATTCCAGGCCAGAATGGCTCGGGAGGCAATGTGGAGGAAGGAGCGTTAGGAGAGACGAAGGAAGAGACGGCGGAGAGTGAAGATGGATACGAAGACGAAACAGAGAAAAAGGAAGATGACGAGGCGGAGAACTGGAGGAGTAGAAGAGAGGACGAGGTTGAGGCCCTGGGACGCCTCAAGACGTCCCAGGAGGGCCCTTCAGACGGCGCGATGGTTCCGAGGGAGCGCCCCGCAAGGCTCGAGCGCGGCCCCGGCCCGTCCCCACGGCCCTCAGATGGTTCTTCCGAGCCTTTTTTAAGGGGCCCCAGGACACACAAACAAATACACACAAATGAAAGGATTCCCCATATTTTCCTATATTTTCCAGGTTTTTGTCTTCCCCCCACTTCCCATATTTCCCAATATTTTCTGGGGAATCGACGATTAATTGTGTCTGTGTGTTTTTGTTCCCTCCTGACTTCTTCGGGAGAGCACCCGAGGTCCATCGCGCCCAGGATTGAGCATCGTTTAACCGATTCCGATCCCCACGGGCGTGGCCTGGGCCCCACTGGCCGACGTATCCCTCTAGATGGGGATACAGGCTGTTCCCTTCGAGTTTCGAGGGGCAGATCCCCAACTAGGGTGGTGGGATGGTGGGGATCTGGACGGGGATGGAGAAGGGGATAGGGATCGGTCAAACGATGCTGAAGGATGGAAGCGAGGCCCCACAGAGGTCCACGCGAGGCCCCCCCTAGAAGCCCCCGGGGACACGCGCGAGAAGACGGCGAGAGAGAGATAGCACGGGCATCCATGCATGCCGCTTGACGACCACGCCACGCTGCAGCAGCGCAGCGATGCTTTCCAAACCGGCCTCAAGATGGCACGGCTTGCTCGAGGACAACCGGGCCGACGGCGATGACGATGCTTTCCTCCGAATGCTGAAGTGCGAACACTGTGTGACCAAAAGGCTGGCTCGCACGGGACTCTGTTTTAGCCCGTGGGTAGCCTCGCTTGCTTAGCGCTTCCGAGCCATAGCGACTTGAGCCACGACGGCCTCGAGATGGCATCCATTGTTCGAGGGAAGCCTAACAGCGCCCCCAGGACTCGAAGGTTACCCCCCACGGCGATTCCCTGGAGGGCGCCGAAGGTGCTGCCCGATGCGCTGCCCCGGGGCGCCCGAAGAAGGCTCCTGCCAGGACGCTTGCCCCCGGGCAGCCCGCGGGAGGGCACGTCGGGTGCCGCGGGAGGGCAGAGCGGAGGCACTGAAGGGTCGGCGGAGTTGGCGGAGCTGGTGGAGCTGGTGGGCCGCCGCCAACTCCACCCACTTCCCGCCGCCAACTCCACCAACTCCACAGGGCCTCCGCCCTGACCTCCCGCCACCAACTCCGAGTTCTAGAGCTGGTGGAGCTGGGCGAGCTCACTCAGAAACGCATGGTGCATGCACTCGGAGCTCTTCTGACCCGGGTCAATCCAGACCCGGGTCAGTCAGGCCTTGCAGGATCCTGCAAGATCCTGCAGGATCCTGCAAGATGCTGCACCCAAACCAGGGTCAGTGCACACCTGGCCCTGCATGATCCTGCAAGATCCGGCGCTCTGGCTGACCCCCGTTTGCATTGACCCCCGTCTCTTGAGCTCCTATGCATTTCGACAATGCGCTGGCACGGTGGCAAGACTCTCCGCAGAGCCGCAGCCGACCAGACAGAAGGGCGAAGTCTGTAGACATGCATGTACAGGTTTGGAGCAAGCGGGGCCACAAAACGCTCGACGGTAGCGCTTCGAGGCTTGAAAGCTACCTCTGGGTCGGGCGTGTCCTCCTACAGGGGGATGCATTTAAAAATGGTAGAAAAATGGTCCCAGGCTATATTTCACTAATTTTAAATTTTCCTCCTGTAGAGGGACACGCCCGGCTTAAGGCTACTCTTCATTGCGGACTTGGACCATGGAGAAAGCGGACGCGGAAAACGACGATTACGAAGTCAACGGACGACGACTACGATGTCAACGTCAACGGCCACACGATGCTCAAATACTGAGAACAGGCGTTGTCCGCCCTCCAGCCGTTGAGCATCATCACAAGGTCGTTCTAAATCACACGGTTTAGCGCAGGCGGGATGGGCAAGATTGCAGCAACGTTTCCAGCCGCCGCTGCAATAAACCTCAGAGGCCCCACAGAGGACCCTGCTAGCAGCACGCTGAGAACTGTGCACCAGCGTTGAGCCTGGGAACAAGAGTAATCGTGTGAGGACGAGGCAGGTCCTGGTTGCGCAGGCGCGCAATCTTCATCTTCTTGCGATTCTTGAGCTCCCCTCGCGGGCACCGCAAGAATGCAGGTCATTGCACACGCCCTCCGCCCCTCTGTCCACACAGCACGGTTACAAGCGTCGTCGAATTCATCCTTCTGCACAACATCCCAATCCAGAACTCGTGAAGCGACGTACACAGAGAATGCGTCGGGCGGAATGGAAGGTGGGATGGAAAGGTTAAAGCAATGCGGATAGACGGAGAAAGTGAGAGGACGAGGTCTGGGCAAGTGCACGCGAGGGTAATCATGGGAGCGGGAGCTGCAGCTAGAGCGGAAGGAAAGGCGGGAAGGAACGTAAGTCGGCCAGTCGGCCCGTAGGCAACCAGTGCGAATGGTCAGTGCAAGAGGCTTGCACCCCACGAGCGTATTGAAAAAACAACCTTCAATGCTCTGGCTCCTCTCACTCCTCGTATCTCACTACTCCTTGCATACTCTTCCCCTCATCAGCCTTCTCGGCCGATTTGTCATCTGCCTTCCTGCTGTGAACCAGCCCGAACAGTGCCTCCTCAAGGCGGGGTTGCTGCCCAGGCACGGACTGTGCAAAAAACACGTGTACGAAGTACGCTGCGCATGGCCCTTTCCGACCGTTTCTCCTCCGACTTCGCCGCGGACCTCGGCTCTGCACACGAGAACCGTGCGAGAGCAAGCGGTGCCGTCCTGGTCCTCCTCCCCCCCAGTCGGTACCCAAGACCTCCCGGAGCGCGCTCTGGCCGGGACTTCGAGGCGAAGTCTGGCCGTGGCGAACGAAGGCCCCTCCCCCATGGGCGTCAAAAGAAGCGAAAGAGACATCGAAGCTACTCCATCGTCCTCGTTCCTCTCATCCTCCTCCTCCTCCTCCTCCTCCTCCTCCTCCTCCTCTTCCTTTTCCCCCTCCTCCTCCATCATCCTCGTTCATCTCCTCCTCCTCCTACTCCTCCTCCTCCTCCTCCTCCTCCTCCTCCTCCTCCTCCTCCTCCTCCTCCTCCTCCTCCTCCCCCTCCTCGTCCTCCTCATCCCCCTCCTCCTCATCCACTCCTCCTCCATCATCCGCGTGGGCCCCCTTTCCTTTCTCATTCATCATCCCTCCTCTCCCTCCTCCCTCTCTCCTCCTTCTCGCCCCCCTGCCCCTGTAACCCTGAGGGTAAAATGGCAGCTCATCCAGCATAGACCGCGGACACACGTCGCAAGGCCGCGTCTTACCTACCTTTGAGTACCATGCGGGACCTGTTCCACTACGGGACACACCGTAGACGGATATACCATTTCTCTTACCTTGTACTGCGCCGAACGCAACGGCCGCGTTGTCCATAGACGTACCAAACCCGAATGTGTGCACGTATACAAATATTAAATGTATATATATATATATATATATATATATATATATATATAGGTCGGAGGTTGGGGGGTGAGATCGCAGTGTAACGGAGTCCCCCCACCGGAAAAACGAGTTTCGAGTTCGTGCTCGTGCTGTGCGTGCGGGCGAGGCGAAGCTGCGTGGGCCAGCGAGAGGAATTCACTCTGCTGTCGATAGGGGTCCGCAAACACAAATGTTTCCCCCCCCCCGGCCTTGTCAAGCGGTAACCAATTTTTTCCCGTCGTTTGCTCGCCGGTTGCTCATCATGGTTGCTCATCATGGTTGCTCATCATGGTCGTTCATCATTGTCCCGCCGGTTGCTCATCATGTTTGTTCATCATTGTCCCGCCGGTTGCTCATCATGGTTGCTCATCATGGTTGCTCATCATAGTTGCTCATCATTGTCCCGCCGGTTGCTCTGTCCCGCCGATTGCTCATCATGGTTGCTCATCATGGTTGCTCATCATGGTTTCTCATCATTGTCCCGCCGGTTGCTCATCATGGTTGCGCATCATTGTCCCGCCCGTTGTCCATCATGGTTGCCCATCATGGTTGTTCATCATGGTTGCTCATCATTGTCCCGCCAGTTGCTCATCATGGTTGCCCATCGTGGTTGCTCATCATGGGACACCATCATGGCTGCTCATCATGGGACACCTTATCTTGCTTCTCCTCCTCGTATCCTTCCTTTTTTGGGCTTAAAAATCATAACCTAATTACTTAGATCTTTTGTTCGGCTCAAGGGCTCAGGCCACGCGACGCAAGTCGGTCACCTCGTTACCTCGTCAGTTTGCTAGGACGAAAGTTCGATTGCCATTCGTCGCCTCCCTCCTCCTCTCCTCCCCCCTCAGAAGATGGCGGCCACTCTCATTTGGCATCATGGGCCGGGGGGTGCCGTTCTTGGACCACTTAGTCGTCAGAGGACAAATAAATGCCGTCATTTATTGGCCGCGCCGTCCTTCCAGATCCCCTGCTTGTGTGAATTTGCATTTATCAGAATCTCCTCATCGTTGTCACTACCATCACCATCATCATCATGACCGTCTTCATCTTCATCCGCCTCGTCCTTCTCCTCCTCCTCCTCCTCCGCCTCCTCCTCCGCCTCCTTCTCCTGCCCCTCACTGTCCTCCTCCTCCGGCTCAAGGCGCCCACTGCGGTCGCGCCACCCCCTCCCAGGGCGCCCTCCTCGCGCATTTCTGCGGCCCGGCTATCCACGAGATGGGGGGCCGCGTGGATGACATGAAGAAGGCGGAGCTCACGAAGTACGCTGCCAGTGTTGGAGCCCCCACCAGGAAGCCGGCGGCGCCGACGCAGCGGCGCGCAGTCAAAGACGCGCGCGAGGATTGCAAGCTGCGGGAGGCCGCTCAGCGGCAGCCTTCCCCCGCGCGCGCGGGCGAGCCAGGCGCTGCCAGCTCCGACCTGGCGGCGCCGTCAGTTTCACATGGGTCCGCGTCGGTGCAGGCCCCGGCGCGCGCGGGCGAGCCAGGCGCCGCCAGCTTCGGCCTGGCCGCGCCGCCCGTTTCACGCGGGCCCGCGTCGGCGGGGGCACCAGGTGCGCGCGCGGGCGGGCCCGGCTCTTCCAGTTTGAGCCGGGCACAGGTAGCGCCGTCCGCCCCCGCCACGGTCGCACGGACACCCGTCGCGGGGGCGGCCGATGTCACCTCCAGCGACGTGCGGAACATGAACCGGAATGAGTTGCGCGCACTGGCGACTTCGTTGGGGGTCGGGACTCGGGAGAACACAAAGAGCTCGGAGGCGCTCCGGGCGGCGCGCTGTCGCGCCCTCCCGCAAGCCCCGCAGCGACAGCACTCCCAGGCGGGCGCGAGTGAGCCAGGCGCTGCCAGCTCCGACCTGGCGGCGCCAGCAGCTTCACCCGAGCCCGCGTCGGGGTCTCGCACTGCCAGCTCGAGCCAGGCGCAGGTTAAATCGCCCGTCTCCGCCACCGCGACACAGAACCCGGCTGCGGGGGCGGCCCATGTCACCTCGACCGACGTGCAGAACATGAACAAGAAAGAGTTGCGTGCGCTGGCGGCCTCGTTGGGGGTCGCAGCTAGGGACACCCAACAGTCCACGAGGATTCTCCGCTCGGCCTGTTGTCGTGCCCTCAAAGGGCAGGTTGGGATAGCTTCCTTTTTCCAGCCTGCCGTGGCCCCAGGTGCCCCGGGCCGAGAAGCAGGCGACGCGCCAGTCTCTGACAGCGCATCCGCAGTGGATCCAAACCCAGCGAAGCCGCGCGAACGACCGAGGGCCGTTCGCAAACCGTCGTGGCTGCGTGAACCAGCCTGGTTGTCTGCACAGACAGCGCGCCAGAAGAAAGTTGGGAAGCGGCGCACTCAGCGCGCGCTCCGTAAGGATCGCATCCACGACAAGATCCGCGACAAGCGCCCTCAGAGCGCATCCCGTAAGAAGCTGGCGGCTGCCAAGCGGGGCAAGAAACGATATCAAGAGAACTTCGCAAGGAGAGCAAACCGCAAGCATCGAGTGTTGAAATCCCGCGGGGAGGCGCCTCGCGCGAATCGGAGGCCGGTGATGCCGAAGAGCGCCAGGGCAGAGCGTGCTGGTGTCCTCGGCAGGGAGGGCAGCTGGAAGCGGACGGCGGAAGAGTCTGCCAGGCTCTGCCAGCACGACGGTCCCAGTCACTTACCGCCGTGTTACGCGGGGCTGGACCAGGAACACCAGCGGAGGCTGACCTCGCAAATGTGCGGGCGCCTGGAAGACGTGCAGTGGGCAACGTGCGTGGTGTGCTGGCGTGCGTGGTATGATTTGCCTGCCGAGCACGAGTTCTCGTACACGCAGCAGGGACTCAGGGCGCAGCAGGCTCCGTGGCTTGACCCGGGCGCGAGCGTCATCACGAGGGCCGGCAAGAAAAGCCACGTGAACCAATGGCGCCTGGAAGCAGCCGGGTCGGTGGAGGAAGCGCAGTGCTACCTGGCGGCAAACTACCCTTCAGGGGAGTACGAGAGTATCGCCCGCAGACTGCACGACCCACAGGGAAAGAGGATCATCACGATTTGCGGTGGATGTCACATGCACGTCGGAGAAGATCATGTTCTCCCGCCCCCCGCCGGCGAGATGCGCATGCGTGACTTCGTGGTGGACCCGGTCTGGTGCACCCCGAGGGGTGATGGGCCCGCGATCGCGCATGAGCGCTTCGATGGTGTTGCCCCGCCAGGCCCTGCCAGCGAGGAGGCGTTCTCCAGAGTGTTTGTTTTCAGCGTGGGCGAGTTCGCGCACCCGGTGGCCGCACTTTCGGACCACGAGGAAATGGTATTGGCATTGGTGCATCCGCTCGTGAAGCTGTACAAGCACTGCCAATGCACCCATCGTCGACTGGGACGTCGTGGGCTGAGTGCCGCGTCGCGCAGCGGCAAACCGAACGACACAAGTCGCCCAAGCGAAGGAACAAAAAACAATCCGCCACGTCATCCACACCATCATCGCCCATCAGCACCACGTTCATCACAGTTGTCGTCATGAGCCACCCCCCCTCCCCCCACCCCCCCACAACCTCCTTATCACCCGCAGGGTGGTCGTATAGGTAAATACATATACATGTCGGAATTCACTGTGTCTACAGACATTGGTGGCTTTGAAGTGAAAACGCTAATCGACACAAGCCTCAGATATTGCCCTTTTAAAAGAAGGTAGTCTTGGCCCTCGAAATCCGACCTCCCCCTCCGCCTCCCCCTCCCCTCCCCTCCCTCTCCCCCTCGCCACGGAGGTGCCCCGACGTCCCCGCGCAAGTCTCCGAGGGTCGCCCAGAGGCCTACCGGGCGAGCCCGGGAGGCCTCCGGCTGGTCCCCAGAGGCCCCCGAGGGCCTCCGGAGAGGCAGACCCGTGGAGGCCAAAGGAAGGAAAGGCACCAGAATAAGACAACAACATGTCGATCTGCCGCGCCCTCCGTCATCGCGGCCCCGCCTCCCACCTCCTTTTCTTGTCGAGGGCCCAAAAACCATCCCTGGAAAAAAGCCACCCCTGTTGAGTAGACGCCCAGGGCCGTTTAGAAGAACGCCAATTGTCCCGCCCGGGTGGCCTGTCCTCCCTTGACTTTTGCTGGGCGCCCCTGAGGCGCCGGGGCGGTGCGGGGAGGGGGGGGGGGAGAGCCGCACACCGTCCCGACCCTGCCTCTGCGGAGGCAAGAGAGCGCAGTTCGCAGGCGCTGGGGCACGAGACCCTCCTCGGCACGCCGAGGAGCAGCACCCCAAAGAGCTCCCAAGCGCTCGACAACCCCCCCCCACCCCCTTCACACAGAGCACCCCTCCCGACACATCTCCCCCGCCCCCTTCGCGCAAGGGGGCGGGGTCCAACCCTCCCTCACCTCGCGCAAGGAAGGGCGTCACCCCTCCCCCACCCTGGCGCTGGTCGTCGTCCGCGTCGTCGTCGTATTCGTCGTCGTCGTCCTCCTCCTCCTCCTCCTCCTCCTCCTCCTCATCCTCCTCTTCCTCCTACTCCTCCTCCTCCTCTTCCTCCTACTCCTCCTCGCCGCCTCCGCGACCGCCGCCGCCGCCACGACCGCCGTCGCCGCCGCGACTGCCGCCGTCGCCGCCGCCTCCGTCGTCGTCCGCGTCGTCGTCATCGTCGTCGTCCGTGTCGTCGTCATCGTCGTCGTCCGCGTCGTCGTTGTCGTCGTGGTCCTCGTCATCCTCGTCATCCTCGTCATCGCCGTCGTCGTCGTCGTCCTCGTCGTCGTCGTCCTCGTCGTGGTCGTCCTCGTCATCCTCGTCATCGCCGTCGTCCTAGTCCTCGTCCTCGTCGTCGTCGTCCTCGTCGTCGTCGTGTTCTAGCCGTCCTCGTACAGTCGTTGCCGTCGTATCGTCGTCGCCGTCTTATCGTCAACGTCGCCGTACAGACGTGGTCGGTGTCGTCGTCTGATTGGGCCAGGGGTCGGGGACGTCGTCGTCGCTTGCTGGCGAAATAGTGAAGGTTCATCGTCGTCGTCGTTTGATGGCGCCAGTGAGGGGGTCGGCTTGTCGTGGTCGTCGTCGACATTATCCTCGTCATCGTTTGCCAGCGCCACAGAGGGGGTGGACGGCTGTGACCGCCCCTCGTTCGGAAAGAGGTCCCCAGCTTTCTGGTCGACTGGGGTGTTTCGGGGGAGGGGCGGGGGGCAGGTCTGAAACCTCCCTCCCCTCAAGCGACCAAATTCATCGGCACTCATCGGCACTGAGACTACTGTAATGCCGAGTCCGACCGACAAACCTACTACCTCCTCATCCTCCTCCTGCCTCCTCCCTAGTCCTCCTCCTCTTCCTCCTCCTCCTTCTCCTCCTCCTCTTCCTCCTACTCCTCCTCATCGTCCTCCTCCTCCTCCTCTTCCTCCTCATCCTCATCGTTCCTACTTCCTCCGTCTCCCCATCCCCCTCCCCTATACCTCCTAGTGTCTCCTCCCTTTCCTCCTCCTCCTCATCCTCCTCATCCTCCGACTCCGACTCCTGCACATCCTCCTCCTCCTCGTCCTCCTCCTCCTCACCCTCCCCCCTCCCCTCCTCCTGCTCCTCCTCCTCCTCCTCCTACTCCTCCTCTCCTCCTCATCCTCCTCCTCCTCCTCCTCCTCCTCCTCCTCCTCCTCCTCCTCCTCCTCTCCTCCTCCTCCTCCTCCTCCTCCTCCTCCTCCTCCTCCTCTCCTCCTCCTCTTCCTCCAAAGCCACATCCTCCTCCTCCTCCTCCTCCTCCTCCTCCCTCCTCCTCCTCCTTCCTCCTCCTCCTCCTCCTCCTCCTCCTCCTCCTCTCTCCTCCCTCCTCCTCCTCATCCTCCTCCTCCTCCTCCTCCCTCCTCCTCCTCCCTCCTCCTCCTCCTCCTCCTCCCCTCCTCCTCCTCCTCCTCCTCCTCCCCCCCATCAATCATCCATCATCATCATCATCATTCATCATCATCATCATCATCATCATCATCATCATCATCATCATCATCATCATCATCATCATCATCATCATCATCATCACATCATTCATCATCATCATCATCATCATCATCATTCAATCATCATCATAATCATCATCAACAGCATCACATCACATCATCATCATCATCATCATTATCCTCATCATCATCATCATCATCATCATCATCATCATCATCATCATCATCATCATCATCAGCATCATCATCATCATCATCATCATCATCATCATCATCATCATCATCATCATCATCATCATCATCATCATCATCATCATCATCATCATCATCATCATCCGCATCCTCCTCATCATCATCATCATCATCATCATCATCATCAGCATCAGCATCATCATCATCATCAGCAGCAGCAGCCGCATCATCATCATCATCATCATCATCATCATCATCAGCATCATCAGCATCATCACCATCATCATCATCAGCAGCATCATCATCAGCAGCAGCATCATCATCATCATCATCAGCAGCATCAGCATCATCATCATCATCATCATCATCATCATCATCATCACCACAACCATCATCATCATCATCATCATCAGCAGCAGCATCATCATCAGAATCGTCATAATCATCAGCATCATCAGCATCATCATCAACAACATCATCATCGTCATCATCATCAACTGCATCATCATCAGCATCATCATCATCACCATCATCATCAGCATCATCATAATCGTCATCATCAGCAGCAGCAGCAGCAACATCATCAACACCAACACAACCGCCACCATCATCAGCATCGCCATCAGCATCACCAGCATCAACAACAGCCTGTATCGTACCTCCTCCTCCTCCTCCTTCTCATCCTCCTCCTCCTCCTCCTCATGCTCCTCGTAATCATCGTCATCAGCATCATCATCATCATCATCATCATCATCAGCATCATCATCATCATCAGCATGATCATCATCGTCATCATCAGCATCATCAGTATCAGCATCATCATAACCATCACCACCATCGGCATCATCAGCAGCATCAGCATCATCAGTAACAGCATCTTCACCAGCAGCATCATCATCATCAGCATCAACATCGCCATCACCAGCATCATAAACAGCATCATCAAGTTAGTCATCAACAGCATCATCGTCATGATCATCATGGGCATCATCATCATCATCCACATTACCACTAGCATCGTCATCGTCATCGTCATCATCATCAACAGCAGCAGCATCAACAGCATCATCAGCAGCATCGTCATAATCATCATCAGCATCAGCATCGTCATAAGCATCATCATCATCAGTATCAGCATCACCGTTAGCATCTACATCAGTATCATCATCGTCAGCATCACCAGCATCTTTATCAGCATCATCACCAACGTCATGAGCTACAGCAGCAACAGCTCTATGATCATCATCATCAGCAGCAGCAGCATCAGCATCAGCATCAGCAGCAGAAACAGCATCATCATCACCACCACCATCAACATCCGCATCATCAGCAGCATCATCAGCATCATCATCTTCATCACCAGCATCATCTTCTTCATTATCATGAAGAGCAGCAGCATCATCACCATCATCATCACCATCATCAGCAACATCATCATCATCACCATCATCATGACCATCATCATCAGCATCATCACCATCATCAGCACCATCCTCCAACCCCTCCTCTCTCTTGCATCCTCCTCTCTCCTACATCCTCCTCCTCCTCCTCCTCCTCCACCTCCTCCTCCTCCTCCTCCTCCTCGTACCTGAGCCTCCTTCTTCTCTCAAAGCCTGTACCCGTCCCTCCAGGGGTCCACCCTGGCCGGCTGCTCTCCGTCGGTTGTCGATCTTTGAGGGCACCTGGCTCCGCAACGGGCCCCCACACACGCCAAGATCGGGAGAAGCCCTCCGACGCAGCATGTTTTTGCTGTTCGATCAGGGGGGGAGGGGGGGGGCGCGTCGTGTCGGCTTTGACGGAGGGGGGGGGGGGGGGGGCGGCGGTGGTAAAAAAAGGGGGTCAGCGATCAGCTCAGGGAAGCTGATTTCCCCAGCTCCTGCCCGGCGCTGGCGGCGCCAATGCATCAAGGAAATGCAAATCCCCCCTCCGCCCGACCTGCTTGTTGACAGGCCTACCCCCCTGACCCCCGACGTCAAATGTTGTATCATAACATGAAGCTTCCCCTCGCCTGTCCTCGTCTCCCCAGTTCCTCCTCCTCCTCCTCCTCCTCCTCCTCCTCCTCCTCCTCCTCCTCCTCCTAGAATTGCACTTCAATGCCATGCTTCACGCACTCCTTCTGCAACGCACTCACTGGTTTTCACGAAGAGCTGCCAATCGCGCACCCTTCTGCCCACGCATCCTTCCGGATGTTTGGCTCCGTGGTGGTGGCGACCAGACCAATTCCCCAGGACCGCCGCTTCATCCTGACTCACTGCTTGACGCTCCCGCGACCCGGTACGGGCCTCCAGATGCCGAAAACAGCGAAAAACCTTCAGTCGCATCTGTTTGACGACTCGAGGGCGTCTGGGCCCAGAGCCCGGCAGTGGCCGCCACCGCCACCCGTCGCCGCCGGCCGCCGTCTCAGGGGGCGCGCCGTTCGGGCAGAGGTGGCAGTAACGGCAGGTCTGCCTGTGCGCCCGCGGGCAGCACGCGGGGGGGAGACGAGATCCGCAGAGACAAGGAGGAGGAGGAGGAGGAGGAGGAGGAGGAGGAGGAGGAGGAGGAGGAGGAGGGGGTGGGGGCAAGCCGGGTGCGCTCGCGCCGTCCGCCATCCACTCTGCCCCCATGGCACGTGGAGGCGTGCTGGAACGCCAAGTGCTGCCCGGCAGGGCGTCGGTAGTCTTCCGAGGGCCGCCCCCCCGTTCGTCGCATCCCCCCGCGCGCACCGCTTCCCCTTTTCCGAGGCTCCGTCGGCGCCCAGACACTTCCCTGGCGCAAGGCGTTGGAGATATCCTAGATGGCTTCTCATACGGCCAAGGCAGGCCACCAAGGCTGCCAACATGTGGCAAGAGGCCACCAGACCTCGAAGACGGCTCAAGACGGCCTCCAGCAAGGCCCGAAAAGGCCAAAATCATTCCCCTTTCAGGGCTTGCACTGACGTGGTCATCTCGGATATTGAAGGATTTGGCGAAAGTCCAGGGCCGATTTCTGTAGGCGGCTGAGTTCTCGGGATCCCGGATTCCTTGTTCTGGGGTTCCCTGTTCCAGGTTCTAAGCAGATGTCGGTGGGCGGCTGGGTTCCCAGGTCCCCAGCTTGCAGGATTCTCGGCAGCGTAAAGTCTGCTGGTTCCCGGATTCCCGGTTCCAAGGTTCCTGGCAAAGCTGGGTTCCCAGGTTCCCGGTCCGGTTGGCGGCTGGGTTCCCGTGTCCCCGGCAAAGCAAAGTTAGGTGGGTGTCCGGCTTCCCGGGTCTCGTTTCTGGTTACTGGGGTTCTGGATGTCTTGGTTTTGGCCAAGCTCCTGGGTCTTCGATCATGAAACAACAAAGGAGTCAAAGAGTTGCGAGCAGAGTTGACAAGAGAGATTGGGGAGAGAAAGAGAGTGAGAGGTAGAGAGAGACAAAACAAAATGAGACAACTGGTTAAATATCATTTTGCAGGGGAGTTCCGAGTAAGAGGGTACATCGTCGAAGTGTAACCCCAAGAAGCATTTAAGAACCCCCCTTCCGAGAAAGGATAAAACTCCCCCGCACCGGGAAGCGTTATCCCGCACCAGAAAGATGATGTGACTATCGCCGTAGCGCCGCGTGCATTCGCTTCAACAACTTGCAAGAGCCTCACGGATGGAGGGCGGCTTGTGGCTCCCGCCTTAGCACCGCACACATTCGATTCAACAGTTTGCACAAGTTTCACGGATGGAGGGCGGCTCGTTTTCAAACTATGGCTCTCGCCTTAGCGCTGCGCACATTCGTTTCAACAACTTGCAAGACTTTCACGGATAGAGGGCGGGTAGTTTTCAAAATGTGGCTCTCGCCTCCGCGCCGCACACATTCGTTTTGAAAACGTTGCAAGAGCTTCACGGATTTAGGGCGGCTCGTTTTCAAAAAATGTAGCTCTCGCTTCAGCGACGCGCACATTCTTTTCAGCAACCTGCAAAGAGTTTCACGAATAAAAAACGGCTCGTTTTCAAAATGTGGCTCTTGCATCAGCGCCACGCACTTTCGTTTTGAGAGACAGAGAAAGAGAGAGAGAGAGAGAGAAACAAAAGAGAGAGAGAGAGAGAGAACAAACAAATGGGGATACATATATATATAGAGAGAGAGGGGAAAAAAACTTTCACATAACACTGACTGTACTGATACATATACGTATATCCAGGTGTGAGTCGGTCTTGGACAAGGAGTGCAGATCGAGGTGCGAGGGTAGATCACGCTGCAGAGACTGGATGTATAGGGAAGACATGCAACGAAGAAAAAGAGAGTGGGAAAGAGAAAGTGACGGCAGGCAGGGATAGAATGCGGGAAATTACAGAAAATTCACTGGTTGGATTTGTTATCTGGTGCAAATGATGTACCATGTGCTTGAAAGATGCTCGCATTCTCGCCTTTGTCGAGCTTCATCGATCTTCCGTCGGCTCAAGGCGCCCCAAGAAGAGGCCGCCCTGATGGCCTCACGACGACCCAAAAGGGCGTCAAGATAGCCCAAGGAACTTCCAAGACGGCCTCAAGACAGCCCAAGAGGGATCCTGGACAGCCCAGGATCGACTCAAGAACGCTGCCAACTGACCCTCAAGGGCCCCTGGAAAGACCCAAGACGGTCTAAGAGGATCCCTCGACGGCCCAAGAAACCCCACGGTGGCCCTGAGACTCCCCAGACGGCCACGAGGGCCCCAAAAGAGCCCTAAGACAAATTTCCCAACCCTCCTGCTGTTGGTTCTCGCTTGGACTAGAACAATGCGGTCACCCACCTTCCCGCACTGTTTCCTCCGTCCTGCCTCCTACCTCTTCCTCCCTCCCATTCTTCGCGGGCCCTGCTTGCGCTGCTCCATGGGTGGCTGCGAACTGCGCAACTGTCGCCACTTCCGTGGGTTCCTGGGAAGCACGGCGGCGCAGCGGAGCACGCGGATCCAGCCGAGACATTACAGCTTCCTTCGGGGCTGCGAACTGCGCAACTGGCGCAATTTTCGTGGGCTCCTGGAAAGCACGGCGGAGTGGCGGAGTACGCGGACCCAGCCGAGACGTCGCAGCTCCTTGGGTGGCTGCGAACTGCGCAATTGTCGCCACGTTCGTGGGCAAATGGGATGTCCAGCGGAGTTGGGGGCCACGCGCACCAAGATGCGACCTCGCTGCACTCTGGGGCGTCGCCACGCCATGCCATGTCAGGCTACGCGTCCTCATTTCCGCGCTTCCGCGCTGAGTTGTTTTTCACAACTCTGCTCTCGCTGAAGAGCTGGCCTCAGTTTCGGGCTACCACTCGTTCAGAATCATGTTCCCGCTGCAGCGCTGGCCTCATTTCCGCGCTTCCGCTCGTTCCGAATCGGCTCCCACTGCAGCGCTGGCGTCATTATTTCCAGCGCCATGCCACGGCATGGTTTTGGTCTTTCTAAAATGGCCCGAAAATGGGAAATGCCCCCCCGAAGAAACACTCGGAAGTAATTAAACATTCGGCATTCGGTGTCGATTCGTTGATTGTCTGGGCCGCA